AACGTTCCAGAGTTCTGCTGAGAATAGGGGTGGTATCCTGCTCATCCGGATTGGAGGTATCCCGATATCAAGACATGGTGGACGCTGTACTTTGCGGTAGGTGCCATTGACGTATGTAGCTTCGAAGTAAGCTACCAGGCCTTCAGGAATGTTCTCTTTTAGTTGGTCGAGACCAGTGAGGTAAGCGAGGTCTTATTTTCTCACTAAGATGTTCAATTACATTGTTCAGGCGCTCACAGGGACTGACACGCGACCATTTAGCAGTAAAAAGTTGCCCAGTAAAAATGACTGGGGCCAATTTTAGTTTCGACATGGATTCAATAGAAGAGTCCCTGAACGTACAGGCCTAACACTAGGGTGAGTGTAATGAGACCTACGTTCGGAGCTGAACTAGCTTATATTATGCCAAGTTCTATTATTATGCAGAAAAAAGAAATAAGTTTAAAGTAGCCAAGTCTCTAATTCAATATCATCCTAAAACTTCAATCAACATTAAATCAACATTGATGTTGTGATCTTACCGGGAAAAGATGGCCTTCTGATATCCAATATTTAAGACAAAATAAACATTTTACAATTGGTACACAAATCGTGTACTATAATACGTTTCAGCGCTATTTGTAATAAGGGACTCTAAAAACGAGGCTTATATTGGCATATTCCACAAGTAATGTCAAACGGTGACGCTACATGTATATTCTTAGGCGACATAGATTATTCATAAATGAGAAAGAACATTTCAAGGTACTTCACAAGTCCAACATGATTAATCAAACTATTTCTGCACGATCCGATACCATAGTTTACATAGTGCGCTTTTAAAAGTCAATGAGGGTGAACCAATTTGTGTGAATGACTTTACTCCAGTTGATCACAGACGTCGTTGTGATGAAATGAAATGAAATGGGGTTTAACGTCCTACTGTTTTGCTCCGAACTGGGCTAATTTGTACATGAAATGCAGTCCTTTACACTCACACAGGCAGTGGTCCTACAAACTTTCATTTTTTGTGGAGAGTATCAGAATTCAGTGAACAGGATGAACTGATAAACAAGGCCCACTACCATATCAAATGGAAATTATAAGAGAGCTCCCTAAGTACCATAGCAGGGCACTCAGAAAAGAGTTCATACAGTGCTTTGGACAGGCTACGAATTGCAAAGCAGCTTTCCTTTGTGAAGCATACCATAGACTTACTGGTGATTGTTGTTCACCTGAAACAACTAGACAATCAGAGGTTGATGATGGGATAAATAAAATCTTAGACCAGGAGGATCCTGAGCTTATTTGGGACTTACGTGAGAAAAAGAGTGGTCGGCCTGAACAATATTCAGTATTTTTGGAGCAGTGCCAATCATATATAAATTCATCAGTCGAAACAGCAGTAGACGAAAGGCCACATGATATGGTCCAGGATGATGATGTCATCACTCACCTTGCTACTGCACCAAGTGTCCTTGACTTACATGATGAATTCTCCAAAATGTGTCCCAACGGTACGCCAATTCCTTATATCCAGTGGCTAAGGTTACAGTTTTGGCCATGACACTGGAAAACTGAAAGTTAAGTTCATAATTCAAGCACGCCAGTTCCGAGCACAACATTTAGATGCCCACTATGCCTCGGCTCTTTTCAGATATGAAAAAGAATTTACGGTGAAATTCAGAGACCATGTATCATTTGTAAGTCTCGATGATAAACACACTATCAAGATAGGAGAACCTGGCTGTCCAGTTGCTTCGGTTGAAAGGGGAAAAAGTGTCATAGTGTCCATGGGAAAGAAATTTGTTGTGTCTGATCATGACTTCACCCGCCTGAGCCTCACCCCTAGTGTGTCTTTAGTGATTGACGTCCCAGAAACAATTGAAGAAAGTTTTCACAGGGGCAGAGTATTTGTAGTTTTGAAAGAAAATGCTTGCCAGCCATCATCGCCTATCCGTCATATGACTGAACTGAAACAACTGTTAACTCAAATCGGACCGGTTAAGCCCATTCTGTGTATGTACACTGATGGTGGACCAGACCACCGTCTCACATATCTCTCAGTCCAACTGTCACTTTTGGCTTGGATTTGGACTTTCTATGTGCTGTCCGAACGCCACCACAACACAGCTGGAAAAATCCAGTTGAGAGAATTATGAGTGTCCTCAATTTCGCTCTACAGGGTGTTGGCAGTATGCGTGAAGAGGTTGAACATGAACTCTATTCGAGAGCTTGCAACCAAGATACCAGAAATTAAAGATGAAGTTATTGGTAGTGTCCATGCCAATCGGAATTTGATGAACTCTATGATACAAAGACTAAAATTGAAAGACCACAATTTTAAAACTAAGGACCCAGACTCTGAAGAGGAAATGACTGCTCTATGGGAATATGTGTTACAGGTTAGTATAATTGAATAATATTCAGAACTTGTTGATACATTGTAGTGACGATAGAGAGCAATGGTTTGAATATTGACAATATTTTACATATTTAAATTTATATGTGGCACTTTTATTCAAATATTTTGTTTTCCACAATAAATAATGATAAAAACTAGACTGTGTGAGAGGCTATGATTCTTAAATAGTCACTTGCTTGTTTCGTGTTTAGAAAATAAGAGACTGGATTATCTTTTTAATTTCAGATTGATGATTCATTGAGTGTTAACGATCGCACCAAGCAACACATCAGAGGCAAAGACAAATTCAAGGCCTTTCTTGAGAGTCACTGTAAAGTACGTCAGTACATGTTCAGCATTCTGAAATGTAATGAACTTACCTGCTCTGTTTGTAAAGTTCCTCGTTTGCCACCAGATGTCTTCCAGGCGATTCGCCACTTACCTGATCCTACACCAGCTGGTAGCAGATACAAACAATTTGATGAATTGTATGGAAAGGTATGATTTCAATGTTTAACAAATTAAATGAACCAGGGATGTGCATTGCAGTGAGGGTATCACAAAAATGGAAATTTCAAAATCAAGCTGAACTCAAATTTTCTGGCAGTTATTTTAAATTTCAGTTTGTGAATTCATTTTCTAACCCCACAAAGGATAAAACAGTGATGTCATAATCATGTACTGTAAGTAAGATGTTAAACCTTCATTATAATTCACAATCATGTATTAGTGTGGTGCTGAAGTCTATACTGAAACCTTTTTGTTTTGGATTTTCCAGGTAGAAACGACAGAACAGTATCTTCCTTCAGCCAGTTCTGCTATAGAAAAAGGACATAAATGTCCCTTCAATCCAACATCCCAAACTGCCAAGAATGTTGGAACAGTCATTCAGTGTTTGGACTGTGGAAAATGGCATTGTCTCCACTCACAGAAAAAGCTACAAAAGAAACACCGTGATGAACTTGAGGCTCTTTTGGAAACATTGCTATACAGCTGTGGTAGTACCTTTAGTAGTGCTGTTGATGATGACGAGGACAATAATGTTATGCAACTGGTGTCTGTTAGGGCCAATTTAGCATGTTATTCAGATATTGAATATTCTAATCACTCGGCAGGGTATGAATTGATTTGTATTCATTGTAATGGAGAAGACAGGTTAATTCAGAAAGAGGGTTACTACCCCCAGTGTCAGGAATGTGCTTGTTCGAAAAAGGCTATTCCGAAAAGAGGAAAAAGAACTATTTAAATTCATATTAAAGCCACCGATTGTCATTCAAAGTATTTTGAATTCCTAGCAAACTACAGTTTTATGAAGATTGAATGTCGAAAAAGAAATAAAAGCTTTATTCCTGAAGTATCGTGTTTTCAGTAGATCTATATTCATTCAAGAAAGAAAAAAAAAAAAAACACTCCCTCCAACATTTTTGAAAAAAAAAAGGACAATCACCAACTAATTTTTTTTAAGTGGCCTTAACTGGAGAGCAAGCCCAATAAATAATATCGGCGTAGACTGGAATAACCAGACGCTAGAGATTGAAATTCGATTGAGAATACTGGCGTATTTCACGAACCTAACTGATTAAAAATTACAGTAAAAACAGAAACGATTGAATGTAAATCAATTTATATACATTCATATTACATTATTGTATGCGTGGCGACCCATTTGTGTTAATTTCTAGGTCCCAAGTATTAGCGACTTAGCTACTTTAATGTGCAAAATAACTATTACACTGTATTTTGTATTACCGGTATAAGATAAGATAAGATAAGATTTTATTGCATCGAAACATCCATTTAGAACAGCATACAATATAAACGTGTACATAAAGATTATAACGATATGACAATTATTACACAAGACACACAATATTGCATCGGAACCTCCCTTGAGGACAACATACAATATACAAAATATACAGGTGCAAAAAAATGGACGGATACACAAATATGGACGGACATAAATTTAAAGCACTCATAAATAAACAGTATGAAACCTGCATATGGAACAAAATGTACAAATTATTAAATCACATAACTCGACAGTATAAGACCCACATACAGGGTACATAATATATCAAAATACAAAACAAAGCGTGCGCACATAAAAGAAAATAAAATATCATGCATATTTAACAGATGTCTCTCCTAAGAAAAGAGAAGTAGACAAAGGCTGCGACACTTGCGGACACTTGCGGCTATAATACTCGGTGGGTCGAATAGGTTTTCAAATGAAAAGGTTAGACGAGTATTGTCAAGGGTTTGATATATATATATTGTTTTCTTAAATCTTCATAATTTTGGCATTCCATAAGAAAATGTTTTTCAGATTCAATTTTGCCTGCATTGAGAAGTGTATTCTGTATTTTAACACTGTGACATTTGTAGGCCTATTCTGCCCCTGGAGCAATGGAATTGGAAATTGTAAAATTAAAATACATAATTTGAACAGCTGACCTATTCGGATGCTTGAACAGTGAACATTGAAATATTATTGGCAACGTTATCCTTCCATAGGGGAAGAGATTATGGTCATAAAATTCGCATTTTGATGCTAGCTTATCAGCCTTCATAAATAACATACTACCAACCGCCGAGCATGTAGTCATGTACTCACCCCGAATTACACGTGCTAGTAGTGTTGATACTATGTACTCTCAGTTTATTTGCAATATCCTTCAGAAGTTGGACCTTATTGGCATCGGGTCTGTGGTATACACTCATGATGACAGTAACTGGTTGATGAATTAAAACCAAGGTGTACCTAAAGTTTCAATGGGACAAATTCAAAGCACCTCTGCTATGCACTTCGTCAAGCCGGCGAGTGTGAGACCTTCACCTTCTACGTCCTGATTTCCGAGCATTTGTAGTCCCGATCTAAATGACACTCGACCCCGATGCACCAGTCTCTAACTCAATATCATCCGAAGGCTTCGACATTGAAAACACGAATTATTTGTCAATTTAAATCAACATTGATGTTGTGATCTTACCGGGAAAAGATGGGCTTCTGATATCCAATATTTAAGAAAAAATAAACATTTTACCAGTGGTACACGAATCGTGTACCATGTTATGCGGACATATTCCACAAGTCATGTCAAATGGGGACGTCATATTGTTATCTGGAGATCATGCTCAATAATTACGATCGGTGTAGACTGGAATAACCTGCAGGCGCTAGAGATTGCGATTCGATAATGAAAAATGAATAGTTCGAAAATAAATTTCATTCAAACTACTTTATTCTAAGCGACGTTATGAATGGAAACATGTACTTTTGTCAGTTCCAGACGGGGTGCAATTAAATTTGTATTACTTTTAATGCAAATAAGAATAGAAATCTATTGTCAGGCCTTTTCACAATGAGCGACCTCATATATTTTCTGAAAATTAATGTGTAGGCTAGCGTTGGCGGATATTGTCTAATCTATTCAATATCTAAGCCATTCCATAATCTAGAGAGTTGATTATGGGCTTTCCATATGAATAGTAATTTAAATAATAATTTATATAAAATTTGAAACCAGAAAAACGCCATGCAATATGCAAATATAGCTCCTTGCGCCTCTTTAAAGATACATTCCCGCGTACAAACTGGGTGATTTGATGATATATTTGGACTAAAAACATATTCAAACTAATTAATTTATCATATTATATTTTGCTTCAAATCCTTCTCAAAACATTGTAATTGCCAAGGAATACCCTGCTATAAAAATCGATCAAAAGAGGTCATGTTTGTGTCACGAGACTTAACCTCTCTCGGTACCTATAGCAACGCGTTGAAAGGAGAATTCATTGTATACACAAGACGACGTTGTCTTTAATTGCTGACTGTTTATTACAAATATCGAATCCTAATTAAATTCTCGGATTATCCACTGCCCGCGTCTTTTTCGGCGATTTTTATCTCAGAAAGTGTTGTACGTCTAACTTTTCATAAAGTTTATCAACATGTACACCAAACGCTCAATCTTCGCGTGCAACCTTCGACGTCACGCGTGTAGGTATTCCAAAGCCCTGTATAGGGAAAGTTACGACAACTCATTTACAGGCGAAATTTTGAGTCCCAATAAGTCAAATCGCTAATACGAGTGCGCATGTCTGACCGTTCCTGGCATCGGGATAAACAAAGGAATCACGTGATACGGCCAAATTGTTTAGTCAATAACGAAAATTCAGAAGTAAAGTAAATTAGTTTTTAACCTAGATTAACGTCATACTTTTATATATCAACAAGCTAAACTAGACGGATATAACAGGGAACAGTATTCCAGTAATTATGCGAACAAATTCTAAACCAACTGCGTCTCCTTCACTACGCCCCCATACCCTTTTCCACAGTAAGGAAGTGAGCTGTGGATTTTAAGCCTGACAGAGAGAGTTTTGACGACGACCCGCGTCCTGGAAGGCCATCAACAGCAACCATTCAAGATAACATTACCCGATTGCATGGCATGGTGATGGCTGATCGACGATTGGCCAACCCACATATTGCCAGTTTTGTGGGCATCTCTCATGAGAGGGTTGAGCATATTATCGCCAACGAATTAAGTACGTATGATAAAAGTTTCTGCAAGATGGTTGCCAAAGCTCTTGACTGCGGATCAGAAACGTCCCATGACAATCTGCGCCGTTTTTAAGTAGATCCTGATAAAAGATTTCCAAAAATGAAAAAGGAAGTAGTCGGTTGTCATTTTCCTAGTAATGATGACGTTATGTCAGTCTCAGTCAGCTGTGCTGTGAACAATTTTTTTAGAGTGGCTGAAAAAACATTGTTGACAAAAGTGTGTGCACCTATTTGTGTGTAGAAAAGCAAACGGAAACCATCGACTTTGTACAGGTCTTTCACAGATAGGCTTAGAATTTTTCAGCCAGCTCTCGTAACTATATGTGTCAGTCTGAGTCTTGTTGCGCATTAACAGGGGACGGTAAAAGATATAGATACTTGAAATACCACCTTCAATTTTGAATCTAGAAACGAACTGAATAACGAAGAATGAACAGTTCGTTATTCGTTCTACACCGCTTCAATGATAATCTGTGTTGTTTTTCTCAACTATGACTAATTTTACTCTGTGTTTTGCTGTAAATCACAAATTATCATGATTAAGGATGCCTGAAACGCCTTCAAAATTGAATGCCGAACAACAACCACACGAAAACCGACTAAAAACAGTTCGTTATTCGTTATATGAAGAACGATATGGATTCTTTTTCGATTAACGAGGAGGGAGTATCTGTGGCTATGGGCTAAGTAAATAAAACTCTGGCCGAGAAAGTTCATCGGGATTTTCGGCGTGGTTTCACCTTGTCAGTGGTGCCGAACGGAGGGCCTGACAAGGAGAGTTGTCTATTCGTTTGTATGGGATGAAAGACCGAGATCCCGTGTAAATATTGGCGTGCAAGTAAAAGATGATTTGGCAGTTGGAATTCGATATAAGAGTAGGCTGTGGCGCCGATGTCTGGGCAAAATTTCCCCCATAGCACACTGTATGGCGTATGCCTGTCTTCATTAGCCTATGGGTCGGAGCAAAACAGTATGACATTAAACCCCATTTTATTTCATGTTGCTCATTATTCCCCAATAACGAGGTGAACCATCTCATTATTAATTCGCTATTCATCACTTAAATAACAGCCTGTATTGCTTTTCGGCTAGAAGCCATTTCGTTTTATGATAAAGTTGAATAACGATTAACGAGGTAGCTAGCTACGAGAACGTAGCTAAAAACGTTGAGATATACCGATGTGTTTGTTTTTAGCTACGATTGGATGCCTTTAGTTCCAAGTAGCAAACTCAATTTCTTTATTAATGCATGTAACATCTTTAAATAAGATAAGTTTATGCTATTATGATTAATTAAACTTACAGAGGCCAATGTAGTGGCACAACTGTCGCTTAACTCCAAATATTCGCGTTTAATTTAATGAAGCGTTGTTTTTGTCTGACTTTCACCGCCGTCTAAATCCATTCATAATTACAGAGCTTTAGATTGCCCTATTGATTGGCTGTTATAAAAGCCTTATATTAAGCCCCGCCTTCATGATGACAGCGTATCGTTTAAAAAGATGGCGGTCTTAGTAACGGCTTAACGCCTCGATTTTAAAAACGACGATTTGTACCCGTTTCAGGTAGGATTATATGCTTAATTGTAGTTGGGTCTGGCAGAAATATTATAAATAAAAATAATCAATCGTTTTTATTAAAAAAATATTGTCAATTTTGTTTACAAATGCCTGGTGCGAATCGCTCCCGCATGTGCTACGTTGAAGGTAATGGCCTCATGTCTTATCTCGAAACACGGAGGGTTGAGTGATTAAGGTTTGTTATCTACGAGGCAGCATGCTGCACGTTATTCCCCAATAACGAGGTGAACCATTCCATAATTAATTCGCTAGTCACCGTTTGAATACCAATCTGGGTTGTTTTTCGACTGTACCTCATTAAACCCGTTTATGTTGCTAGGAAATACTTGACAGCAACCATTCTAATGTAGCCACTTTAATTACATCCTTAACGATACATTATGGGAGATTAGATAAAGAGCTGGCAGTTCTCACTATAATAGTTAAAAACTAGATAATGTAAAGGGAATTTGCTGAAAATTTTCAGTCAAATTGATCCACTCTGAAACGAGATTTTAGCAATTGAATTTTCGGCCTAGCCTCGATCATCATTACTAAAGTCAGTACGATAAAAAAAAACATAGTCTCGATTATCCATTTCGTGATTAAATCATGAATGGAAGTCGAACAGGAAATCGGAACCTAATCCAATAAACATCACAGGCTAGAGATGACATCGAGAGTTGATTATGGTCTGGATAAGTTAATTAATGTCTAATTGATAATTTAGATAACATTTCAGGCCTAAAGAAAGACCTGCAATAGGCAGATTTAGCTCTTGCCTAGTGTATGTTTAAATATCCTCATTAAAGATACCTGGAACACCTTCAAATTTGAATCCCGAATAACGAAAAACACGATTAACAATCTGGATTGTTTTTTCGGCTAGAAGCCCTTTAATCTGCTTGGGAACACTTGGCATGTATCATTCCAGTGATATTCTAATCCTGAATAACGAATAGCAGGCAGCCATATTATCATTTTGAAAGGTCTATAGGTTTTTCAGTTTTTAAAATATCCATTTGCAACTGTCATAAACTTGTAGCTTTTTAATTATTTTTTTTACATTTGTCGCCCGTAAATTATTGTTCGATTTCCATATAAATTGCACTATTTAATGGATATACATTATATGTAGTGAAATATAAACCTGCATGATCAGCGAAAGTGGTGTTATTTTGTAAAACCCGTATTTTTAACCTTTCAAACAAACACATTTGGGGGCTAAGTGGGTAAGGTGCTGGCTCGCTAGCCTGGAGGTCGGGTGTTCGATCCCTGCATTGGCCGAGAAAGTTCATCCAGATTTTCCGGCGTGGTTTCCCTTTGTCAGTGATGCAGGATGGAGGGCCTGACAAGGACAGCTGTCTAGTCGTTCGGATGGGACGAAAAACCGAGGTCCCGTGTATACATTGGAATGCACGTAAAAGATCCCTTGGCAGTTGGAATTCGAGATAAGAGTAGGCCGTAGCGCCGCTGCCCGGGCAAAATTTTCCTCATAGCACACTGTATGGCGTATGCCCGTCTTCATTAGCCCAGGTTAGGAGCAGAATAGTAGGACGTTAAACTCCATTTCATTTCATTTCATTTACAAACACATTTAGTGATCACGAGGCAGATAACTCTAAGAATAGTTCAAATCTGGATACAAGAGTAACACGGGGACGTAAATGAAAACAGGTTTTTTCTTGCCAAGAGATACACGTTTATTAAGTACAAGGTTTACACGATACAACAGGGGGGGGGGGCATGACCTAGTCTAGTGCTCTAATGTGTTGCGCTTCGAACTCTAGCTGGCCGGTAACCCTGGCTTGCGGTCGTGGTTTCGATCTCTGGTGTAAAGAGTATGTGGCTTGGGGATAGGGGCGCCTTCTCGACAAAAAAGACCCCCGGGCGTGCGCTAAGATAATAAAAATGAACACATTTTCTCCCGATGGCTCCCAGAGTTTTCGCCCACAAAAACGGGGTAGTCCCATGAGAAATGGCAATTATTAGGCACCGGGGATGGATCGGTTAACGTTCACTGGTGCTGTGGCTATGTCCCCCAAACAATTGCCGTGAATCATCGGGGATGGCTCCCAATAATTGGGAAAATCCCGGGATACCTTCGCCGATAATCAACATCATCGCGTGCCGGTGGCACTTATGCCTTGGTCCCATGTACTACCGATGAACATTGGTGAGCCTCGGGAAGCGTCGGGAACAGGTTCCCCGATGTCCCAGGGAAGCTTCGAGGGAATCGCGAACCATGTGAAACCATCGGGAGGCTACGGGAGAACTGCGATGTGTTCCCGACGTTTTGTCGGAAAAATTGTCCGGGGATGCTTCTTTGAAGCTTCCTCGAAATATTTTACCCCGAAGCATCGGTGATGTCTCGCCGAAGTATCAGGGGACCTGCGAGGATATTAATTATATCGGGGATGCCTCGGGGGAAAAAAACTATTTCGTGGACGATCCAGGTAAGCATCATCGAAGCTTCCCCGTGGATCTGGAAAGGTCCTGAGATGACCCCCTCCCCCCCCTCCCCCGGCCTGTTTTCCCGAAAAAACGTAGAGAACACATCGGAAAAAGTTTCATCAATGCTCCTTTCGCAGTTCTCCCGAGGCCTCCGAATGGTTCCACGTGGCTCGCGATGCTCCCGAAGCTTCCCTGGGACGCCGGGGAACGCCTGCCGAGACTCATCAATTTCCATCGGTTTTCTGCTACCTAGTTCATTCCATAAAACTGTTTAATTTCTAATCAATTATTGGGGATTGGATGGCGGAATGGTTAGCGTTGTATCATAAGGTCTGTCGTTGAGTCAACTGGCGTGGTTTCGATTACCCGGTTGTACGTGACAAGGAGTAGGGTCCTACTGCTAAACACCCCTACGCGCATTATTGAAATGAAATTGAACCATATATGTTAGTCCCGAAATTACCTATTTTGTGAGTGGAAGTTAAACCTCATGCCCCCTCTCTCTTCCAAATCAATTATAATCGGTGAAATACACGAAGAGTCCAATTTTAACGACAGTTGTTTTCGCCTCTTAGCCTATTTCACACACGTTTTTAAAATATTGGATATTAGTTAGGATCCTATATTTTCACAGTAAGACAACAACACCAATGTTGATTGAAATGGACCAAAATTGAATTCTAATTCGCGTTTTTAATTTCAAATATTATGGATAATATTGAGTTTGAGGCTTACTCCTTTAACATGCGATTGTCTGGATGCCGCTTGAAAGACGCATAAACTGGTTACTAAAAGAGTAACCCGGTCGTTCCCAACGATAAAGTGGTTACTGAAATACAAATCCGGGCGTTTCCAACGATAGAGTGGTTACTGAAAGACAAACCCGGTCGTTTCCAACGATAGAGTAGTTACTAAAATACTGGCGTTTCCAACGATAAAGTGGTTACTGAAAGACTAACCCGGGCGTTTCCAACGATGGAGTGGTTATTGAAAGACAAACCCGGGTGCGTCAAATGATGTGCTCGTAGCTGAGAAACCAATCCAGGCCCTAACAGTGATGAAAGGGTTGTAATAGAGGCACACATGTAAATAAAGAACAAGTCGATCCGAAAATTTTCAAATATGTATATTTGGTTGATAATAATGTACAATAAATATAATACAATAATATTTACAATTTATTTTTTCATTCCTTTAATGGCAAAATAAATAACTTTGCGATTATAATTCGATGTTTAGTGTTTTCCTAATTTTCCTTCTTCTTTATTCAAAGAACACACGTTGGTCAGTTCTTTAAATTCTGCAGAAAACTAAAAGAGAAAGTTTGATTAACAATATCTTTGCATCGATGTTACTCGTTGAGATGCAATGGCGTGTACGACATAAATTTGCTTGGGAATTAAACCAAGCTCCAATGAGTAATCAAACATGTGTAAGATTGAAAAAAACGAATGACAAGCAGGCTCACATAGGTGACAACGATTAACGATTTGCTTTATATTATTATATAGCATTATAGCTAACGCGGTTATTTATTACACACTGGCCTTTAATCAGTTAAAATAATAAAAGGCTATTTATGAACATATCTACACAATATAAATATTTTTAAAACAAACCACGCATGATAATATTTGATTTAAAAAGTCTACATTAAAAATACACAGAACACGTTCAGAACACTCATTAAATTTTGTTAGACAAAAAAAGAGAGAAAAAACAGAAAGTGAGAGACAGCGAGAGAAATGAAGAGTACCATTGACTAACAGAAACTTTTTCAATTACTTAGAAATAAACCCTAACATAATAGAAGTCCGTATTGTCAGACTTTATTTTTGTTTGTACAAATTATTTACATATTACCATCTGAAGCACTGAAAGGGTAGAGACAGTCGGCTATGTGAAACCTCAACGTGGACTTTTGGGAAACTGTTGATGTGGCAAATCGTTATTCCCATGTTTTGGGCTCTTTGTATTTTATTCAAATTATAAATAAGTTGTATTAGGTACTTAATATTTTCCACAATTTTATAATAAAATTCAAAACATTTATTAACTAATGTAATAATTACGGCGCTCAGATGTTTATAAATATATTTTTTTTCGTTCTTAACTAGTCACGCTTAACTTTTATTTCACTAAACAGCTGAATTGTGTTGACTCTTATAATCCTTGAATTACTCCTTCCCCTTGTGTTAAATTAACTATTATAGTGAGGCGTTGGTAATGGAGTCGCTTTAAAAATAAAAGTTTAAAATTAATCAAGTTCCATAACAGCACCTACAAAGCAAACAATACATAAATTATTTAGGTTAGAGGGTGGTTACATTTTAAAACTTCCTACTATCAACTTTGATCACACTATATACTAAATTAAATAATATATTTTAAACATCTACTCTACCTCGAAAAAATGGCTCATCCATGTGTTTATCAACCAATGACTTACCTTATATCTATACACGGCATTTTATATCGTACACCGCGTATCTCATACACTGTGTATCATATATCCAGTATATCTCAAACACCGTGTATCTTATATTCAATATATTTCATACAATGTGTATCTTACACGGCATGGATTGTATTGTATCATATATCGAGCATATCTCATACGCCGTGTATCTTATATTTATAAATGGTATGTATTGTATCATATATCCAGTATATCTCATACACCGAGTGTCTAATACACCATTGTATTTCATATACCGGTGTATAACAAATCCATTATGTCAGGCTAGTATACACGGTGTATCATAAACATAATGTGGTACGCATAGTGTATAGTGTGTATATGTTATTATACACCTTACATCTTATGCGCAGCGTTTCTTATAAGAGCCAGAAACATTGTTTTGTTTGCACAGCGTATCATATACATGTACACAGTATGTTCAATACACTTTGCATTTAATACATTATGTATGTATAACACACAGCTTATTAATGGACAGTATATCTCTATACACGATATATATTATATGTTATATATTTGATACAGAATATATTATATACAGTATATACATATTGAGTAGTCACTAGTATTATGTTCTGTGCAGATATCAATAACGTAAGGGATAGGGGTGGGTGTTGGGTAAATCATTCTCGAAACACCGGATAGATGTCCAAGAATGCGGGAGGGGCGGCTAAATGAAAACTGAAGATCTGACCAAGTCATCCGAATACTTTAGGATCATAGAACTATGCTGCCAATTTTTTGTTTTGAATCGTCTTGATATCCTTTTGTGTTCATTAAAATAAAATATCATTGCCATTACCTGTATAATGGTTAGTGGGGTTTTAAAACACATAAACGCGTGATAAATACCATGTAAATTAACTCTATTGGGCGCGTGAAGAATGCGTAAAAATAAGAGATATATTACTAGTGTAATGGGGATGGGGGGATACAATCAATGGGTTGGTCTCATGATTCCCCAACCTCTGCACGGCACTGGTGGTTGCTTGTAACAAATTTCAGTTTCATATTCTTTATTATGCAATTTTTATCCCACAGAAAATAACACCAGCAAGTACAGACGTGGCAAATACGCCACAACCTACCGTACCTTTTATAGAAATCATCTTCTTTTCATCAGCCATGACGCTGCATTTTATCTGAATATGCTTTAGGATAATGATTGCTCTCAAATAATAAAGTACTTACCGGGCAAGGAATACGATAATGTTCTACAACAATAAGGGGACTTCAAATTAAAGGTATTTATTCTGCGTCAGAAAGATTTTATCTACTACCAACTAATCCACGATCTAGCTAAGGGACACACGGGCGGTATGCGTCAGTGATTTACATGCGCGAACACAATAATAATTGCAAAACGATAGTATACTACAACAATAACAGGACTTCAAATTAACTACTCAACAATTGTAAAATATGTATTTTTTTTTCTGGTTCATAAGAAGAAGTTTCGGAGTATGGAAATGATCTTTGATTTCAAAGTCATATCTTTAATGAAAATAATGATGAACCACGCCCACACACTTATAACTGATTAACATGCCCTGGTTTGGTCCTCAAGCACAACAAAATCCCTCAACTGATTCGCAGAAAAGGGAAGTAACTCATGACCTAACCGGAAAAGAAATGAAATGGGGTTTAACGTCATACTGCTCAGCTCCGACTTTGCTAATGAAGATGGACATACGCCATACAGTGTGTGATAAGGAAAATTTTACACGGACAGCGGCACCACGGCCTACTCTTATAACGAATTCCATCTGCCAGGGCATCTTTTACGTGCACGCCAATGTGTACACAGGACCTATACGACAACTACTACAAATTATTAAAGTTCAACTTACCGTCCCCAGAGTATACATCTAATAAAATTTCTATTTAAAACATTTTTTGGTCTAATCCTAAATGACTTTTATATAATCTAAAAACATTCTTGAATTAACAATTATATGGGAGAAAACACTAAAAAAAAATTTCACTTACCTTTAGAAAACTTAACTTTTCTTTATGTTTAACAACCTACCATTGTAATCTGTAGTGACTGTTGAAATTGAAAAGTTCTAAAACTACGCTGGAACCTACCTTTGCTATTTATAGTGTCTGTTGAAATTTTAAAAATCTAAAGCTACGCCGGAACCTGTCTTTGTAAACTGTATTGGCTGTTAAAATTTAAAATTCTAAAACTACGCTAGGACCATGCTTAATGATTTAAAACCTACATTCCAAAAGTTATATTCTATACAAGCCATTCTTAAATCAAGCCAACATAGACTGCTAAAATAATTCTTTACTCACCTTTAAAACGGAAGTTCACATATAATACATAATTAAAAATGCAAAAAAAAGTTCCACTATTATATAGAAAACTTACATTTAAAACATGGAGATCAAAATTGATAGTAGGATAAGAATTCAAAACTAATAATTCGTTAATTTGCTTAATTAAAAAGAATTTACATAAAAATAAATCCACAAAAAAAAATAAACAGCAATGTTATCTTGAAACTGAAATATTTTTTTAAAAATATTCAAATTTTAAATTTGATTCCGATCACCAAGTTACCAATCCTCGACCATCAAGTCCAAATCACCATGCACTAATCAGTCAAAAACATTCCCTATTCTGTCTGGCTGTATTAGACTACACCCTAAACCGACAGACATAATTCAATTATTTCAACATTCTCCAGCGCAAAAAATATATATTTCATACAACCTGCGCATTTTTAAATGTGGCAGTAAGATGCTTAATACTATCGATATTATATATATGTATATAGATGTGTGTGTGTGTGTGTGTGCGTTTTACCATATCAATAGAGCGTGCGCAACTCAAGAGCCTATATTAACAATTCAAGTGCCCAAAAGCCCATATTTCTACCACATAGTTTCTCCAACTCTGATGCAAACATTCGATTTCGGTTCAAGTTCGAGAAAGCATCGGAATTCATTCGGATTCAACGAGGACACAATCCCGACAAAAACTTCAGACACAAATCACCGAACTCGGAAAAGACCAAATTGGAGTCTATTTCTCAAAGAGAATCCATTATGGGCGTTTCAAAGTTCAGGATTGTGGTCCGTTATTTTGAGCTCATTGCAACATTTTATACCCTATTGATCACATCCTTAAATTCCAGTGCTTTCTTGAAATGGTGATACGTAGGTCGAATAATCTAACATCACTTCTAACAGGCCTATTACGACCTATATACTACTCAGCCCTTTTGGCGTCAAATCATTCATGTACATGCGGTTAATATTTAGTTAGGAAAAACCTACGGATATCACCATAAAACCTTTTTCTAGTACTTAAACTAACAATCCAAATAGAGAATAGTTAAGAAATATCAGATTCAAAAAACGGAAAGCAAACAGAAGTATAAAATAAATAAATGAAGTCGAGAATACAAAACGTTTTTGCACATTAGCTGATTTTTGTGAAAGGATTCAAGATATTATTTTTTTATTTTTTAATGGGACATTGACAACATCTTAGCAAACAATGACAGCCAATATCATATGGAAATTATGCCCCCTAAAATGGAGTTGTACAACATTGCATATCAAAATATACTACAAAAAAAATGTCACTCAAGAGATAATAACACTGATTAATGTGCAAAAGCTTTAGCGCCGAATATCTGATATTTCCAAATTATTTTAACACCATTTCCTAGAGTCATGCAACGTTAGTTATTATTAACTCATTTTTAACTCGAATTATAATATAATATAATATAAGTAAAGCATGCATTATGTAGAATGGGTCATAAACGGCTGTAGCCGTCCGGAACTACACGTTCTTCTCGGATAAAAGGCCCATTCTGCTTGTAGAGGCTTCTTCTTCTTCAGCGAGTGTAATTCTTTACCGGTACCAATCAGCTCATGTGGTCTTTCCATAAACCTTTAGCGATCTACGCCCCGTTTACGACATTACAAATAGTCTAAGGACATATCTGTGTAATTAACAATGTCACACGCATATACCACATGAATATAAAATACAGCTTGATTGAACAGAACTACGACAGCCACGAGGGAGACGTGCAGTTATTCTAAGCACAATTCTCGATATTTACTTCTATATACACATTGATATAAAAAGTTACACGGCACACGAAAACAAATATATCTGAAATAAAAAGCACACGGATAAATATTTAAAACAAAACACTATATATATCACAAATCTTCTTCTTGTTGTTGACGATTTCATCTTCGTCTTCATCCCATATCTTCTCGACAGCATCCCTCATTTTAAGACAGCCTCTTCTGACTGGTCCTTTTTTATGGGCAGCGAGTCTTCAGATGTTGCATGACCGGATTCATTTTCAGGAATAAGCTTGTACCTCTCGTATCTTTCACTGAAGTCCAACCGAAAGGTATCGGCGCTGTTTTCATACCTTGTAACCTAAGTTCATTTGCAACTGTTCAAACATTGGTTTACAATAAAACGGAAAACATTTCCATTTACTAATTTTGATCCAAGAATATTACAAATCAAAAATATATTTATAGTTCTAATGAAAACCCGTTTAGTAAAAAGTTAGTAAAGTTTTTTTTTCAACTACTTTAGCATTTCCACGACTTAAGTTCTGATACGCGATCTAGGGGCTTGGGGTGTTGAATCCAGTCTATAACCTGGCTCACTGTGAGAACGTAGACATCTGGCATATGAGTGAGCTGTTCCAAGAAGTCGAGCATACCTTCAAGATTTCCAGACTTTCGTCGGAACCAAGAAGCATGGAGGAAGATCCCGAGAGGGGCTTTGTTAGATTTATACTGTCTGTTGAAGTTGTCCATCAAATATTGCAATGTCCCCTTTCGTCCTGGACCGATGGTGCATCCATCGGGCATAGCACAGGCCATCTTGTTATTGCCGTACCATCGTACTAAAGGTACTTCCCACAAACCTGGGTATGATTTGGTTGGACAAGGCGTAAGACTACAGGTTTCAGAATTTGGAGCATAATCTAAAGTAAAAGGCCAGACAGAAGGTTTCAAATTTTTGAATAAGTGTCCGGTGACCATGGAAGAATCCCACAAATACCCATAGTCTTCTAACATTTGATATTGACTATCACCACCAACTTGCAGGAAAGGGACCCTCATTCCCTTGATATCATCTCTCGGTAGTTTACCCTCTCTAGCCAACCGTTTGCTCATTCCCTCAATCTCCTTGACGTAGCCGTCATAACCGGCATGAGCCCACCACGTTGTTGGTGATCTGTGGGAGATACTATGGGATGCGATCTCGTTACCCTTCTTGTACAGATCTCGAACGTAGTGGTATTGCGTTGCGTCACCGGATACAAAAAAGGTTCCTCTGTGAGGACAATCGTTGGGATTCCTCAATTTATCATTGAATAGTTTTAGATAGTAGTCGTTGTTACCAATATTAACGCTATCATCAAATGTAAGCATCACCATCATAGGAGTTTCAGACATGGACATATTACCAGGAATATCGGTACCAACACATCGGCAATCTGGCAGTTGGCACGTGGTTGGGTCACATTTTCCTGAAAGTAGAAAAATATTTAAGATTTAATGGCATTTTTATACGCCCACATTTGATGTGGACATATATTGTCGTCGCCCTTGTCCGTCAGGACGTCCGTCCACAATTTGTTTGTGGACACTCTACGGGTGACACTTTTGACGAACTTGAAATATAGGTCTGTCTTCAAAAGATCTCGGTTTCTTTCGAAATTGGCATGTATCGGATCGTAACTTCTTGGATTATGGCCCTTGATTGTAGAAAAAATCACGTTTTTAGCTTGTGGACACTCTAGATGTCACAAATTTCACCCGATTCTGATGAAATTTGAAACACATGCTTTTAACCCAAAGATCTCGGTTCCTTTCGATATTCGCGCATATCAGACCATGACTTCCGGGATTATGGCCCCTGATTGTACGAAAAATCATTTTTTTTGTTTTAGCTTGTTATTTCTCCATCTCTTGCAAATTGTGTTCAAATGAAGCAATAGAAAATCATTAGAAGATTTTCAAAAACTTATCAACGAGATACGCGATAGCTACAATAATTGCATCTTAGCATCGATCAGAAAGGGGGAAACGTGGCACATGAAGCGTATTTTGTTGTAGGGCGACCGGTGAGAAACTGAAGCCCCGTGTGATCGGGAAAACGGAGATTCCTCGGTTCTTTAAGGGCGTGGACAAAATCAATCTGTCAGTCAATCGTAAGGCTTGGATGACAAGTGTTATTTATTCGGGCTGGTTAGATGATTATATGTATTCAAGAGAGAGAGAGAGAGAGAGAGAGAGAAACGGGGTTTTGTCTACCAAATAATGTAAAAAATTTGAAAGTACAGAAAGCGTTATGATACTTTAAGTACTGGGTATTCGAGGGTGCATTATAATGATAATACTTCCGGTATTTGAAGGTTCAATAATGTTTACGGTATAATACTTCCGGTATTGAGGCAATGGGGTATTCCGACATATTGTGTAATCCGGCATATTGTATCGATCCCGTCGGAATAGAGAGAGTACATAATTTTAAATTCCATCGGATAAAGGTTGTTGGGGGGGGGGGCTCTGACGCCAGCACTGAGGTTTACAGTTTACATTATTTCTTGTTTAACCGAGAAAATAATAACATGATTAAATCGGGAGATTACCAGCAATATTTTCGATCCCACAACCATAACATCATAAACGTGACGGGCACCTGAAGAATTCAAACAAAGTAACTACGGTCGCTTGTGGTGTTCTGCGTAAAATGGACGTTTGCTTTGACATATTTTGTTTGTATCTGTTTGAATTTGACTAGGGTTAAAACTTTAATCTTGACAGAAGGAAAGCCTGTTTAGACATGCCTTTAGCGGGTAAACAAAATGTATTGACTAACTAAAGCGCCAACCAGAAATGAAATAGTGTTTAATGTCCTACTGTTCTGCTCCGAGTGCGATAATACAGACGGGCATGCGCCATACAGTGTGCTATGAGGGGAATTTTTGCCCGGACAGATAAGTATTCTCGGTCAACACAGGGGATTGAACACGGGAACTCCAGATTAGCGTTCCAGCGTCCAACTCACTGAGGCACTGTGATTCCCGTGCCAACCAGATATTTTCGCAAATTCTCTTTCTGTTACATTGTAACATATTTCATGACTACCTCTTGAAAATAATTTACAAGATTTCCAACGCTTTAGCATTTTTAAACTAAAAATGGTGGCGTTCTTTTTTAAAACTGAATTGAAAATTGAAGAAATGTAATGATATGAAACGTCTAATTAAATATTCGATTTTTCTCAATTTGGGGGCCAGCGTGCAAAGTGTTCGGTTGGAAATCGTGATAACCACTGTATTAATGATATCTTAAAAGTTCATTTTAAAACTTTATAATATTTTATTCTTTCGTTATGAAAACCTCATGTATAATGTATTCGATTCTTCAACAAAAATCGTGTATTTATTTCGATGAGTAACTGACATATCTATGTTTGATGCAGGACGGAAGGCCTGACAAGGACAGCTGTCTAGTCTTTCGGATGGGACGAACAACCGAGGTCCCGTGTACACATTGGCGTTCCCGTAAAAGATCCCTTGACGTATGGAAGTCGATATATAAGAGTAGACCGTAGTGCCGCTGTCCGGGCAAAATTCCTCTCATAGCACACTGTATGGCGTATGCCCGTCTCCATTAGCTCAGTTCGGAGCAAAACAGTATGACGTTAAACCCCATTTCATTTCATATCTATGTCTAAAGCACGTCAACTGTTTCCACTGCGTATTTTTAAAAACTTTTATACATTTAACATAAAGCGAAACCAGAAAGAGTCAAATAAATAGTTCGTCTTAGAAATACTCAAGTGCACCTATTTATCCACATGTTTTTAAAATTAAAAGCAACTGGTCGAAAAGAAAAAGAAATTTTTATTTAAAATTAAATCGATTAGAATGTCAAATGACCATTTAACGTGTGTTTTTTGTTGGTCAGGTAGGATGGGGTAGTTGGCGGGAGGTAGTGGGGGGGGGGGTATAAAAAATAAAAGCAATTAGGATTGATCGAACTGAATGATATGGACCAACATGTTTTAAACTTCATATTTAATCGTTATTTTGGAGCCACTGTGGCGCATGGCTCATTGACTTTGGCGCTAGTTTTTAACAAGAATGTCCCTGGTTTGATCTCGGTGTAGGTCGAGATAGTTCCATAGGATTGTCAAACCTGGTTTAATCTGGTTTTAGGAGGAGGGCATGGCGAGAAACGTTTTTTGGTAGGACGGTTTATATAGAAAAGGAGATCGTTATACCCCATTTCATTTCATTTTGATGAAAACAGTCGGTGGTCAAAGGTCGATGGAAGCTATGTCGTATTAGTATATAATAATGTTTTTTATTTTCTGCTGTAATGTAATAATGGAACTTACCTGTTTTTCTCGGCTTATATTTAGTTGTTCGTGAACTAACTGTAGTTGAAGGGACCGGGGGCTTAGGTGGCTGGCGGTTTGCGGCCGAGTTGGGTGCTCTGGGGGCGTAGCGCAGGTCTGGCTTTCTAGGAGTATATCTTGAAGAATCATGGCCTGGCCTGACAGGAGCTTCGTTCAACACAATACGTTGTTGTGGTAGCTGGGTCGGTTGGGCGGGTCCTGCTATTGTTGAGAGGTGAGACGGTCTGGTAGCTGGTGATTTAGCAGCCCACCATGGGTGGTGTACTAAATTCCATTTACTCTTAGGTTGTTTTGTGTAACTCTTTGTTGCCATTCTGTTATTTCTCATATCACTGGCTGTTGGCCGTACTCGTAACCTTGATTTCGTGTACCCACTCCGACTTTTCTTTCTGTGGATTTTCGTACGGGTGGCTTTCTCGAAGACCTGATTTCGAGCATTATATCTTGGTCCTCTCGCCGCGGCGACGGAATTAATTCCTGATTTTACCCGCGATCTTCTAGTTACAGAATTGGTGTTAGATTTGGATTTGGATTGAAATGGTGGCAAGTAAGGATTTCGTGTTTTCTGCTTGGGTTGTCCGACTGACTTCTTGGGCTGGCGTAGTTCTCCACAAAAGGCGTTTTTCGGCCAGTCACAGGTTTGAGTTCTGGAATTAAAATGAAGTCCTCCAGGACATCGCATAGTGTACATTTGGTCCCCAATGCAGATCTGAAAAATTGTTGGATTCGATGGATGACAGACATATTTATTCTGAACACCACCACAGTTTCCTGCTACTGTTAGTTTTAACATGACCACGGCAAATACTACCGTAATCGAAAACATTTTTAAAGTCAACATTCTGAATGATTATACAAAGTTGGATAATTTTTGTCCTTTTGTAGATTATATTCACAAATAATTTTGCAGTTTCTTCTTTCACAATATCAGGTGAATAATTCTCAATCTGCACCTGTATCTGCGAACAGAAACGCGAAATCCTTTCTCCACAGTTTTCAATCTCAAATCCTCATGAATAGTTGTTAAAGCCACTTCCTCGACGAATCAAGTCGTTGTCCTTTCTGATGTATTACTCCTCCCCAAGGCCCCCGGTCCCTGTTAAACCTTCTCAACTTGAACAGACTCAAACTTATTACTATAAGATAAAATACAAACTTAAATAAATTGTTCAAAACAAAAATCTAATTTATCCTGAATACTGGAAAGCGGTTATCAACAAACGATGAATGATGATATCAAGTCCACTGAGTATAAATTACTTGAAGCGGGCACAGTCGTTCCTAGTATTAATAGACGTAGGATCTGTTCTAGCTGATCGATAGGTTGAGAACTGTAACCAGGCAAAGGCTTCGGCTGCTTAAATACCGGAGGTTTGGCACAGCCAATCATTTATTGATGATTGACGCTTTGCTGTTGACAAACAAAGTTATGTACCGGACTCGAGAACAAACAAAGCTCAACCCGAACAGGTAATTTGCTCGGTGATTAGGTACAACTATGGTGCCAAAATAAAGTAATCGAAAATCTTGAGAAATTGGCTTTGTTTAACGATAAGCAATTTATTCAAACCGGTCCCGGTTGTTTATATAGGGGGCTAGATTCCTCTACACCGTTTCCATTAAACAATGTACTTTGTTTGTTAATGTTTTAAGACCTCTTTTTTTCACGCCAGGAACAGACGTGTATACCGATAAATAGACCCCCTAAGATCTAGTCATTCCAGCAATGTCAGTATTAACAAATTTACGAAGAGGAAAAAAATGAACATAAAAATTTAATGACAGAAAACAAACTAAAATCACAGATAAGGCAAACAAAGAACATTATGTATGTTAGTTTCAAACTTTCCACACGCGAAAAAATCGACCGTGAACCCTTCAAAAACAATTTCATAAACCTATTCAATGTGTTGTTTTAAGCACCTAGCAAATATCTGTCAACTTTTAAATATATTAAAAACACAATAGGGTATTGAGGAGATAACATAAGAAACAAACATGAACAACAAAATAAATATACAATAGTTTAAAATATTATAATGCAATTGTTTCTATGCGCTTAATCATATTTAGATTTACGTCTTGTTCTTGTATATTTACCGCCGTAAAACGGATTTGGTCAAATCTTTATATCCCCCTGCTGATATGCTTAATGTGTTTTTTCTCTTAAGACATTACATGCATCAGGCATCAATGACGGAATTATCCTAAATTCTTACCCTAATTCGAAGATCTATTCCCGGGTTTAGTTTTAATTTAACATTTTTGTTTATAATATGTGCGGTTAGAAGCAATTAATTTCTAGCGCCAATAGTTCTTGGTAAATTTACTAAAGCGGTTAATTTTCAGTTTTCATCTCAGCATTTTTGTCTGAAATGTTGAATTTGTATGGTTTATATTGGAGAATAAATGTTTGAAAAAGCGATACTACCACGGAAAAATACATTGTAGGTGACATGTCTGGCATTTAGGCTGCAACACTGGTTGCTGTAGACCGCAAGCTACTTTCTGCAAATGACACACCCTAAAAGATATCCTGAAAGACAACGGTAAGCTCCCTCCAAACAAACATTCACCCCCAGAAAAAATGTGTCTATCAAGTTGCCTGTTCCTGTGACAGCACATACATTGGTGAAACTAAACATCCCCCTGATAAAAGAATAAATGAAATGAAATGATATGGGGTTTAACGTCCTACTGTTTTGCTCCGAACTGGGCTAATGAAGACGGGCAAACGCCATACAGTGTGCTATGAGGGACATTTTGCCCGGACAGCGGCACTACGACCTACTCTTATATCGAATTCCAACTATCAAGGGATCTTTTACGTGCACGCCGACGTGTAAACGGGCAATACACATCAGAAGAAACAGATCAGATCTTAACCGTGATACAGATATATTCTTGCCCAAAGCGTATGACCAATTAATTCATTAATAGTAGTTTCAAGGGATCTTTTACGTGCACGTCAATGTGTACACAGGGCAATACACATCCGAGGAAACAGATCAGATCTTAACCGTGATACAGGGATATTATTGCCCAAAGCGTATGACCAATGAATTCATTAATAGTAGTTTTCTACTTTTCCTTATTACTGGGCACTTGTGCTGTGTTTTAACTTATTGATTCGTTATTATTTTTATTTTTTCACCCTGATTTATTCTTGTTTATTAGTGTCTCATTGAATCCATATCTCAATTACATACCCAATTATAATTCTATCACATAATTAGTTGTTATAAAGTAGTCATATGTAATTAATTACCCCATTTAACAACAGTTATCTTTTATCTAGCTTTAAACACCTTCCATCATGTTGCATTTATCGGCAATAAAACAGGTGATTGCTGGTACATGCCAACAAACCAGTCAACACCCTACACGCTTGACAAACGGTCGTCTCATTGCTAGTCGGCCACCCAACGTTCAGTAACCCCTACAGTCGGTGGTAGCGAGGAAATGGTCGGATGGAAGGTAGGCCAGTCTGTTTTACTGCCGAATCCCAAATAATGTCCAGAATGAAGAGACGGCACGTTATTCGGGATCCGACAACAAAACAGATGAGTGGGGGAGATGACTGTACCGTGCAAGCCAACAAACCAGTAAACACCCTATTCGCTTGACAGGTCGTCTCCTTGCTAGTTGGTCACCCCACGAACACTCACCCCTAAAGCCGGGGTAGCGAGGAAATGGTCGGATGCAAGGTAGGCCGGTCTGTTTAAATCCCGAATAACGTGCTGACTCGTTATTCGGGAATCGGCAATAAAACAGGTGATTGCACACACTACACGCTTGCCAAACGGTCGTCTCCTTGCTAGTCGGTCACCCAGCGTTCACTTACCCCTACGGTCGGAGCTATAGAGGAAATAGTCGGATGGAAGGTAGGCCGGTCTGTTTTATTGTCGAATAACGTGCTGGCTCGTTATTCGTTATTCACGAATCCAGAATAACGAGTCAGCACGTTATTCGGGATTCCGCAGTAAAACAGACAGCCAGCACGTTATTGGGGATTCGACGATAAAACGGGTGAGTGCGGGAGAGGACTGTCCCGTGCACGCCAACAAACTAGCTACCCAACGTTCACTTACCCCTAGGGGCAGAATGGTGGATTTAATATAGTTATATGTGTTCCTGTCGTAGTCTAGTTCTTGTATATTAGTTTTTATGTAAATGTGTTATATACCTGATGTAAATAAATCATATATTTACTAAACTGATCTCTGTTATCACTAAGATAGTGTTACATTAGACCCGTTTGCTTGCTCGTTATTCGCGAATCCCGAATAACGAGCCAGTACGCTATTCGGGATTCGGCAATAACATAGGTGAGTACGGGATATGACTGCCCCGTGCACGCCAACAAACCAGTCAACACCGTACTCTCTTGACAAACGGTCGCCTCCTTGCTAGTCGGTCACCCAACGTTCATTTACCCCTACGGTCGAAGGAATCGGGGAAAAGGTCGGATGGAACTTAGGTCGGTCTGTTTTACTGCCGAATCCCGAATAACGTGTTGGCTCGTTAACCAGGGTTCGGCAATAAAACAGGTGAGTGCTAGAGAGGACAGTCCCGTGCATGTCAACAAACCAGTAAACATCCTATTCGGTCTAAAAACGGTCGTCTCCTTGCTAGTTGGCCACCCAACGCTAACTTACCCCAACGACCGGGGATAGCGAAGAAATGGTCGGATGCAAGGTAGGTCGGTCTGTTTTACTGCCGAATCCCGAATAACGTACTGGCTCGTTATTCGTGAATCCCGAATAACGAGCCAGCACGTTATTCGGGATTCGGCAATAACATAGGTGAGTGCGGGAAAGGACTGCCCCGTGCACGCCAACAAACCAGTAAACAACCTACTCCCTTGACAAACGGTCGCCCCCTTGCTAGTCGGTCACCCAATATTCACTTACCCCTACGGTCGGGGGAATCGAGGAAATGGTCGGATGGAAGGTAGGTTGGTCTGTTTTACTGCCGAATCCCGAATAACGAGCCAGCACCAAACTCGCTTGACAAACGGCCGCCTCCTTGCTAGTCGGCAACCCAACATTCACTTATCCCTTCGTCGGAGTTAGCGAGGAAATGGTCAGATGGAAGATAGGACGATGTGATTTACTGACGAATCCCGAATAACGTGCTGGCTCGTTATTCGGGTTTCGGCAATAAAACAGGTGATTGTTAGAGAGGACTATCCCGTGAACTCCAACAAACCAGTGAACACCCTACTCGCTTGACAAACGAACGTCTCCGTGCTAGTCGACCCTCCAGCGTTCACTTACCCTACGGTCGGAGGTAGCGAGGAAATAGTCGGATGCAAGGTAGGCCGGTCTGTTTTAGTGCCGAATCCCGAATAACATGCTGGCTCGTTATTCGCGAATCCCAAATAACGTGCCAATATCACGTTGCCAAGAGATCGCCGCTTTGTTTCCTTTTTAGTTTGATGCACGCGTTGTGTTATTGGGTTGGTTTAATCTATATGAAACTAGTGTCAGGTAAAATGTTAATTGATTTCTTGTCATCTAATGCAAACTGTACATTTTTCATATTTATTCGACAAATTTACCGATTGTGCTTATTTAGCATTTCAGAAAATGTTGATTTTCGTTTTATTGGCAAGAAAAAAAAAACAATTATAAAGCAATGTTATTTATTTCAGCTTTAGCAGCTGTACAAAACCAAATATAGGAATTGGTTGTAAAACTTGTCCACCCACTTTATCTTACGACAGCCTGAACTGTAACCCTTGTTCACATACAATGCGGGGGGGGGGGGGCAAATCGTTAGCAAGTGCGCGCTGTATCGTAATGCCTGTCATTGAGTCAACTGGCGTGGTTTCGAATCCCCGGTTGTACGTGACAAGGAATAGGATTGCCTGTCCAACCTCGTAGGTTTTCTCCGGGTCCTCCGGTTTCCCCCCACTGCTAAAGACCCCTACGCGCAAGCGAATTATTGAAATAAAATTAAAAACCATATGTAAGTCACGAAATGACCTAATTTGTGTCGAGTGAACGTTAAACCTCATTTGTCTCTCTCACACATACAATGCAGACAATGTAAGGGATGGATGACATATTTTGTTGTTACCTTGCTCAATAGAAAATGAAATAGGGTTCACCGTCATATCTTTCTGCACCAACCAGGTTGTTGAAGAAGAATAAACAACAGGTAGGAGAGAAATTTGCTCGGACAGTGGCGGGGGGCAGTGGCGTTTCCCCCTAGTCTTCAGCGAATTCCAGCTGTCAGTGGTATGCAGGTGAATCTCGAGCTTGTGAAGACGGGTAACCGCCATGCAGTATGCTTTGATGGAAATGTGTCCCGGACAGCGGCGTTTCTGCATACTCTTCGT